GGTCCACGTTTCGCAAGCGTAGAGAAGGGAGGGAATGACCGTGGCCGAGAAGACCTGAAGCTTAGTGCGGAGCGACAGACCAGGTAGCTTCCACACAGCGTTACGCAACCGATGAAAAGATATTGCCGCTCGACTGATTCGGAGTGAGACCTCTGCTGTTAAACTGGAGCCGGTCATAAGCACACTGCCCAGGTATGGGAAAATCTCCACTCTCTCCTCAACTGCCCCATCACCGATTGGGAGTTGTGGGGGTTGTGTCCGATGGTATAAAATACCCAGGCAGGTGCTTAGTTTTGGTGGGGCTGATGGTAAGGCCCCATCTCTTAGTGGCATACTCCAGTCTCAGCAGCAGCGTCTCCAACTCCTCCTCTGACTGAGCAGCTATTACCAAGTCATCAGCATACATAACGTGGTTGAGCAATAGGGAGCCATCCCTTGACCGCACCCGGGCATCGATTAGCCTCCCATTATATCTGTACCATATGGAGATTCCCCCGGTACAGCTATTGAAGGCTTCACGAACTACGTGGTCAAAATAGATGTTAAATAATGTGGGAGCCAGAGGACATCCCTGTCGCACCCCAAGGTGTACAGGGAATGGCTCTGACTCCCGGCCACGTAGTTTTACCCGGACACAGACACACGGACACAGACACACATACAAAGACACGGACACAAAGACACACACACACAGACACACATACAAAGACACACACACGGACACAGACAAAGACACACACAAAAAGGACAGAAATGAGTATTTGAATCCCCGTCCATTTATCTCCCCGTATGAAATTAACAAAATTTTTCTCCGCACGTACACGGCCGAGAATATTCGCCCCGCATCCGCCGACGGGGAACAACAGCTTTGCTCGGGCTCCCGACGGGATTCGCATTCTTCACGGAGCGCGACTCTTCGCAGGCGCTCGCGCGCGGGGGGTAATAAGTTGCTCGCGAGCGTTCACGCTCCGGGAGAAAGATGCAAAGGCGCAGCCCTGCGACTGCTCGCTCGTGCCACTGCCGGTCGAAGGACCTCCACGCGAGAGGGGGGGCGCGAGCCCTCGTACGCCTCGACACCGTGGCCACCACGCCCGGCCGCCTTTGTCTCCCCGGCGCTGACGTTTACACGCCGCACCAGGCGCGTGCCATTTAAGGGGGGGTGGCGGGTAGCGGGCTGGCTAAAGCACGTGCCGCCCCCCCCCCCCCCCCCCCCGTGTACACGTACGGATATGGGAGACTCGCGTCCGGGCGAGGTAACGGCCGCCGTTGATGTTCGCCGCCAGGAGTGAAAATCCGGGCGGCCGGGTTCAGAGCGCAGCGCTCTTAAACCCCCTCCACCGCTACCCGTCTCGAGCGAATCGCTCGTGCGCGGACATATCCGCAACCGGTTGCGCGAGCAGCCGGATTACCGCTCGCCGGTGGAGCACGGGCTCGACCGGCGACGGCGCTCCGTCCGCCGAGGCTGGCTGGGCCGTCGCGAGCCTCCTGACGTTTCGGTCCCCCGTCGCCGCTCCGCCCGCTCGGCCGGGCGGGTTTACCGAGCCGCGTGGTGCTCCAGGACTCACGATTGGGGGGGGGGGGGGGGGGGGGGGGGCGGGGGGCGCGGTCGCGCAACCGCGGCGGAGTTGACGAGCCTCCGATTGATGGGCGCGCTCTGCTTACGGTGGGCGGTTCCGTATGCCGTTTGCCCACGTCGGCTTCCCTTAAATCGCCCGCGTGACAAGCCACCAGCCGCTAGGTTTTAACGCGCGCGTGCGCGCGTGCGCGTGTGTGTGTGCCGATGAGTCCCTGGTGCGGTGTGTAGTAAACATCGCTAGCACTGGGGAGACAAAGGCGGCCGAGCGTGGTGCTGGCCACCAACCCCCTCGTGTGCCGTGCTGGCCTTGACAGGTGCTCGCTAACAGCGCTTGCCCCAAAAGTCTGTTCAGGATATACGGGGGGCGGGGAGATAGATCTTTGTTGTTGGTTTTTTGTGACTTGCAGTGTGGTGGGTGAGTCAGTGGGTGGATGAGTGAGTTGGTAGGTGAGTGGGTGTGGTGAGGTGTGAGTGTTTGTGACCTGCAAGTGTGGTGGGTGGGTGAGTGGGTGGGTGGGTGGGGTGAGGTGTGAGTGTTTGTGACCTGCAAGTGTGGTGAGCGCGTTGGTGAATGATTGAGTGGGTGAGCGCGAGTGTGGGTGTGCATGTGTCGTGTTGCTGTGACCTGCAAGTGTGGTGGGTGGGTGAGGGGGTGAGGGGGTGAGGGGGTGGGTGGGTGTGTGGGTGGGTGCGTGTGTGGGTGCGTGTGTGGGTGAGTGGGTGTGTGGGTGGGAGGGTGGGTGAGTGGGTGGGTGTGTGGGTGGGTGAGTGGGTGGGTGAGTGGGTGGGTGGGTGGGTGAGTGGGTGGGTGGGTGAGTGGGTGGCAGGGTGAGTGGGTGGGTGGGTGTTGTGAGGTATGTGTGTTTGTGACTTGCAGGGTGGCGAGTGAGTTGGTGGATGATTGAGTAAGGTGAGTGGGTGAGCGGGTGAGCGGGCGAGTGTGGATGCGTGTGTGTTGTTGTGACCTGGGGTGCGGTGACATTGGACGGATAGAATGATGGCGACGACGACGATGACGATGACGACGACGATGACGACGCCGGCTCGTGACCGACGCCGGCTCGTGACCGACGCCGGCTCGTGACCGACGGCTTTCCGCCGGCCGGCCGACACCGTGCCGCGCCGTAGATACGTGGGGACAACTTGAATTTGTCCACGCTGATTTGCGCTCCCTCCCCCGCCGCAGCCCGGGGAGAGATGGAGCGTGGCTTTTGAATGATAAATAATTTCGATTAAACTTAACGAGCTCTTCCGGGTTTGATTGGGACGCCGTGGCCAGCGGCGCGGTGCCAAACTCGCTCATGCGGAGGTCACCGGTTCGATTCAGTTGGGGTGGGGGGCGGGGGCAAGGGGACCCTCACTTTACCACCCCCCCCCCTCCCTCACCCGTCTCGCCGCTCGTCCAGCCGGCCGTGTAAATAGGCACGATGGCGCGTGGGTGGTCGACTGATCGATCGACCGACCGACCGACCGACCGATCGATCGGCCTGGTTCGCGTTGTGGTGGGGTAAGGCGTCGATGCTTAGGCCTCTTTTGACGACGTCTGGCCGGACAGTACCCGCTCTACGTTAACGTACAAATTCCTTCTCCAGCTCTGCCCACGCTGACCCTTGGGTTGGACCCACCAAGAGCTCGTGTGACGTCTTGTTGCAGCAGCTCAATCTCCTACGTCAGCAGTTCTCCTGCTGTGTTGGTTTCACACCTGGTGGCGGTTGCTTGTGTTTGCGATCGAGACGTCGCGACCTGTTATTTTTCTACCCACGTGACTTTACCGAAAGAACCAAAAGAGTGTGGATTCCTGCGGCCACGAAAGCTTCAAATCAAGATTAGTACCCTCTCTGTGGAGAGGGGCCCACTGTGGCTTCCGCAACTTATTACCCCGCGCATGTGGTGGGGAGATGGTAGCTACCTCGTCCAGTATACAGGAGGTCGTGGGTTTGATCCCGACCCTAACTCCTGCTGTATATTTAGAGTTTGCGTGTCTCTCTCTCTCTCATCATCATCACGGTGGCTAGGAGATGTTAACTACCTCGCCCGGTATACAGGAGGTCGTGGGTTTGATCCAGACCCTGACTTCTGTATATTTCGAGTTTGCGTGTCTCTCTCTCATCATCATCGCGGTGGCTAGGAGATGTTAACTACCTCGCCCGGTGTACAGGAGGTCGTGGGTTCGATCCCGACCCTGACGCCTGCTGCTGTATATTTGGAGTCTACGTGTCTCTCTCTCATCATCATCGCGTTGGCTAGGAGATGTTAACTACCTCGCCCGGTATACAGGAGGTCGTGGGTTCGATCCCGACCCTTGACGCCTGCTGTGTTTGCATGTTTCTCTCCCCGTGGTCGCGTGGATTTTATCTTCGGCTCCTCTGGCGTTTCCTACACATTTAGAATCAACGTCACGCGTTTAGAGTGTTTGGCTGCTGTAAATGTCCACTCGATAAGTCATTTTTGTTGATCTATCATTAGTGATAGCCACGCTCGCTTCTGAAAGAAAGCTTCTACATAGCTCAGTGGGCCTTACCTGGTAAGATGAAAACATCTTTTGTTTCTTAGTTTTTGATTTTCTTAAAGCGATTTGTCATTGTAACGTTCTGACCCCGTACCCCCCCCCGCTGGGCATCTGTGGGAAAGAGCTTCACAGCTCACCGGGCTCCTCCTCCTGCGGCATACACGAGTGTTCTCATTCTGAAGTATGGTTAAACCCCCTTCCCCACGGCTGCCTGCATGACTGACACACAGCGTGGGGGGTGGTGTTGTGGAGGGGGTGTGTGATGTGGGGGTGGGGCAGTGTGATGGGGGGTGAGGGGGATGAGATAGGCTGACGTTTATTTACTTCTAAGTCGAGAATTATAATAGGAAAACATGATTTATGTCGTTTGTCCTAATTGGTTTTGGTATTCCTGCGAGGGTGGCAATGGTAATAAGAATAATAACGCTGCTGCTGCCGCCGCCTCAGTAGTTCTCGTCCCGTGGGGGGGCTCCCCATGTGTTGACTTTGAATTCTCATCCCGTGGAGGGGCCCCCCAACGGGACGATAATTCAGAGCCAACGTTGAGGGCCCCCCCCCCCGACGTTGGCTCTGAATTCTCGTCGCATCGGGGGGCACCCCAACGTTGACTCTAAATTCTCGTCCCGTTCGGGGCCCCCCGACGTTGGCTCTGAATTCTCCTCCCGTGGGGGGGGGGCTGGGGGGCCCCCCCGGCCCCCCCGACGTTGGCTCTGAATTCTCGTCCCGTGGAAAGCCCCCCCAACATTGGCTCTGAATTCTCGTCCCGTCGAGGGGCCCCCCAACGTTGGCTCTGAATTTTCGTCCCGTTGGGGGCCCCCCCTCTCCAAACGCCAATTTGTATCGCTTGATGTTACATCGTGCTCACGTTGGGCCCCCCCCTCCGCCCTGACCCCCCCTCCCGCCCCTCTTTCCCAGGAAACTCTGGCGGATCGGTGACTCCAGATCTGGATCTTCACGATAAACAGGTTCGTCCGTGCACCTCTGCAGCTTCAGCTTTTTTCCCCCACTGGCACAAACCGGGCCGGGCCGGTACGCGGTGACGCCGCTCGCTGGCCGCCGCGAAGCGACTGTCCTCGCACACGCGTGCGCGGTGAACGTATTGTTCACCCTACCCGTGGCCCTGCTTGGCCCCCCGATCCAGATTCAGATGTCTCTGTGAGGCCAGCACATCGCGGTTTGGGTCGGCAATGCCAATTAACCGGTGGGACAAAACCACCGGTACCGACCACCGATACCGGTGGTCACGTCGATGATTGCGCGACCGCTGATAAAAAAAAATAATCTCGCCATTCCTTCCCGCCTCCCACCACCCCCGCCGCTTTCACCACACCAACGCCGTCTGTGCCACCGCCGGCACAGCTGAAGCTGACGGAGCAGCAGGTGAATCTGGCGCTGGCGGCGGTGGCCCCGGGCGCCACCGGCAAGGAGGCCCAGAAGCGGATGCAGCAAGCGGACTTCCTCGCCGGGTGCCCGGCGTCGCCGTTCCTCGGTCCGGACCCTCCGCAGCAGCAGCAGCAGCAGCACGCGTACTTCCGAAGCCTCGTGCCTGCGTCCACGCACAGCGCGCAGCAGCTGTTCCTGCACCAGCATCACCAGCAGCAGCAGCAGCAGCAGCTGGCGCGAGGGCACCAGCAGCAGCAGCAGCACGGAATCTTTCCCTCCGCGTTCTTCGGCTCGGAGGCCGTGCTCGGCATGGCTCCCGCCGACGGCCTCAAGCTTCCGCCGCTTGCGCCGCAGCTGTTCCAGCAGCAGCAGCAGCAGTTGGACCAGCACACGGCAGCCGAATTGCAGCAGCAGCAGCAGCAGCAGCAGCACAAGTCGTTGGCGGCGCTGGGCCTGCTGCCGCTGGGATCGGAGCCGGGCGGCCGCGTGTCGCTGGGCCGCGTGGCGCCGCCGGCCCCCTCGTCGGGGTGGCCCGAGCTGTACGGGGTCGGGGGGGGCACCGCCGTGGCCTCCCCCCAGCCCCCGCAGCAGCAGCAGCAGCAGCAGCAGGCGGTGGGCGCGTCGCTTGGGCACGTCGGCATGGACGGTAGGCGTGGCTGGCAGGGGACGCACAGCGCTCGCCACCGCGTGATGAGGATGAGCGTGCGGCAAGAGGCGCCGATGCCCCCGCGGATTCCCCTGACAGAAGTTTGCGTGCTGTCTCTCTCTCTCCCTCTCTCTCGTCTCTCGTCTCTCGCACACTCTCGTCACACCACACACTCACACGCTCGTCACATACACACACGCTCGTCACATACACACACGCACACGCTCTCCCTGCCACACACTCACACTCTCGCCACACCACACACACATACGCTCGCCCTGCCACACACTCACACTCTCGCCACACCACACACACACACGCTCGTCACATACATACACACACTCACACGCTCGCCACACACTTACACGCTCACCACACACACGCGCACACACGCTCGTCACATACACACACACGCTCGCCACACCACTCACACACGCTCGTCACATACACACACACGCCACACTCACACGCTCACACCCTCACCACACCACACACTCACACTCTCGCCACACCACACACACACACACACACGCTCGTCACATACACACACACGCTCGCCCTGCCATACACTCACACTCTCGCCACACCACACACTCACACTCTCGCCACACCACACACACACACACGCTCGTCACATACACGCTCGTCACATACACACACACGCTCGCCCTGCCATACACTCACACTCTCGCCACACCACACCACACTCTCACACCCTCGCCACACCACACACTCACACACATGCTCGCCCTGCTACACACGCACACGCAGAGATGACCCTGGCGGAACGCCGTCAGCTGATGCAGCAGCAGCAGCAGCAGCAGCTGCGGCTGCAGGAGCATCTCTCGATGGGCGGCGGTCACGCGCAGAGGTTGGCGGCCCTCGGCCAGGGGTCGCCCTTCACCGCCAACGGCCTCCCGGGGCCCCCCTCGCCGTACTCGCGCAAGTGCGTGGCCAAGCCCCCCACCCCCCCCCCACCCACCCCCTCCACCCCACCCCCACCCTCACCCCCCCACCTCCCCCCACCCCCACCCGCCCTACCCAACACCACCACCTGATGCGTGTCCGGTCGGTGTGGAGGGGTGAGAGTGGTGGGCGCACCGAGGCCTGCGGGTCGCCGGCTCCCCCGGCGTGGAAGTGGAGACGGTGGGGGGTGGGGGGGGAGACGGATTGCGTTGAATCCACACGCCACAACCCCCCCCCCCCCCCACCACCTCTCTCCGCTCAGAGGCGTGCCCCGAGACTCATCGGCGGAGCGCTTTGACGCGCTCCTACGTCGAGACGCTTTTCGGCACGCCGTCCGCGCGGCCTGCCGTGCCCGCCCCAAGGCGTCTGGCCGAGGTGGAAGGCCGAGGCCGACCGCGAAGGCCTCCCGCCCGTTACCCAGCCGTCCTGCCGTCGTTTTCGCCGGACCCTGACCCCTCTGCCCTGTGGCCCCCCCCCCCCCCCCCCCCCCCAGCTTCTCTGGGCTCCCCCTGGCCGCCGCTCAGCGGCTGCCCAAGCTGGGCGAGATGCGCGCGGAGCCCTCGCTGGTGCCGCAGTCGCGCCTGCTGCAGTACAAGCAGGCGTGCGCGGCGCAGCGAGCCGTCTCGCCGCACCCCTTCGCCAACTCGGCCGCCGGCGCCGACGACGCCCAGCCGGGCCGACCGAACTTCCCCGTGCGGGGCCCCGACGCCAGGACTAGCGTCGAGTACGCGCCGTCGCCCTTCTACGCGCTGCCCTCGAGACCGACGCTGGCGCACTTTGCGCCGGGCGCGTACCCTCACGGCGCCGGCGGAGGTGGAGTGCCGCACCTGCCCCCGGCCGGTTTCGGCGGCATGCATCATCACCAGCAGCAGCAGCAGCAGCCTTCGCCGCCCTCGCCGGCGACGGTGGGCGCGAGCGATGCCGACCTGGAACGGCCCGGGGGCCCGGCGGCGCAGATCTACAACGGGTTCTCGCACGGGCTGCTGCTGGGAGCGGCGCTCAGCCCCAGGAAGGAGGGCGGCGGCGGCGGCGGCGCCGGCGCCGGCGGCGTCGACCCGATGGCCGGCGCCGCCACCGCGCAGTCGTCGCCGTCCTCCGTCGTTCAGTCGTACGCCACCGCCGGCGTGAACGGGCGAGCGGCGGTGCCGTCGCCCGGCGGGGAGTTTGACGGCTCGGGTTGGCCTCCCTCGGGGGTGACGAGCGCCCAGCACCACCAGCACCATCACCAGCACCATCACCAGCAGCAGCAGCAGCAGCAGCAGCAACAGCAGCAGCAGCAGCGCTACGGCTTGCGCAGCGCCAGCGGCGACGCCGTTCACTTCCCGAGCCACTACGGCCCTCCGGCCTCCGTGCTGTGTCTGCCGTCGGGCGCCGAAACGTCGGACCCCCTGCTGAGGCCCGGACCGTCCCAGAAGGCCGGGCTCAGTGTGGAGATGGAACAGCACCACCAGCAGCAGCAGCAGCAGCAGCATCAGCAGCAGCAGCTTCACCAGCACCATCAGCTTCTGCTTCCGCACCACCTCCACCCGCTCGCAACGTCCACGCACCCCGATCACGTGAGTGCTTCGTGGCCCATCGGATTCCTCCCGGTACGAACAGACATTCGGATTCAGAAGTCTGGGGGGGGGGGGGGGGGCGGGGGGGGGGGGGCGCGGGGGGGGGGGGGGGGTGTGGCGACGCGTCTCAGTGGCGAGCGGCGTTGGGCCGCACGCAGCAGAGGGCTCGCGCTTTGAATCCGATGGGGCCAACCCTTCGTTAGCGCTGATGTGCGTGCGAGGCGCAAAACCTCGTGCGCGCACGCGGTGAGTTACGCTCGGTGCGAAAGACGTTCAGCGTACCGTGCGTGCGTGCAGAGGACGCACATGCAATGAGCTACGGTTGGCTCACGTACGGTGCGAAAGAAGTTTAGCCGCGCGCACGCACGCACGTGCCGGACACGAAGAGAAACCCCCTCCCCCCCCCCCCCCCCCCCCCCCCGTGGCGTCGTTCGAAATGGGTCTGAGAGGAAATTAATTTCCAAAACGCCATCGGTGTGTGTGTGTCCGGGGGATGGAGATCTGGGCGACGCACCGCTCCGAACGATGTTGGCGTTCATCCCTGACCGCACGAGTACCGTTGGCCTGATTACCGTCGTTGCTGTTGTTGCTCCGTCATGGTCGGCGTCGTTCGCGCGTGGCGGCCGTTTGTCGCTTGGGAGTCGCCGGTGGCGCCGGCGCGGCGCTTAATTGGCCAGCGACTTGTTTAGTTTGTTAATTGTTCTCGGGACGCCGGGACCACCATCCCCCCTCTCCCCCCCATCCATCCCGGTCGCGTGACCGACGGGCAGGCAAAACCAAGAAAACGTCGCTCTTTAAACCCCAGGCCAGGAGGCCTTCATCCAGCAGTAGATTGTTTCTGACAAGCTTTGATGGGGGTTTCCTTTTTTTTTTTTCTTGCGGCATGTGACGGGGATGGCAGGGTGAGGGGAGGGGGGAGGGGGTAGTGCAATGATTCCTACGTTGATTCCAAATGATCGCTTTGCGCGGTGACGCTGGCACGCTAAAGACTGAGCCGCGTAGCTCTTTATCACAAGCGACCACCTGTCCACCACACCTCTGATCGCTATGACGACGACGTTTCTGTTCTGTAATCCGCGCGTTCCTCTCTCGCTATGTAAGTGTTTTTTTTTTTGCCCCTTTCCAACCTCGCCGCCGCTGCGCCGATTTCAATTGGGAGCGAGCGCGTCGCGGCGGGGGCGGTGGGGGGGGGGGCGATTTTTTCATTTGCATGGCGCTCAAACGCCTCCGCTGGCGCCTCCACCGCACGTCCCTCGACGGCAGATTCCAATCGCTGCACCGGTGACCTTCCCTTGCCCGCCCGCCCCGTCCCCCTCCACCCAGAGACGAAGAAGGGGGGGGGGGGGTCGGGGGGGGCCCTGGCAGCACCGCACGGATAGATGGGGTCATGCCCCTCTCTGTTCCCGGGGCGTGCGTGCACGCAGCAGAATGTGAATAGCGGTGGGCTCGACTGGGGGGCGGCTGTGCGGGGGGGGGGGGTGGCGGGGTGAAGCGTGTTCGGTGATTCTGGGGGTCTCGTCTCTGCGAAGGCCGTTTGGTTGCTGTGCGGGTACATGGGTCTCCGTGTCAATCTGTGGGTCTCCGTGTGAATCTATGGGTCTCTATGTGAATCTGTGGGTCTCTGTGAATCTATGGGTCTCTGTGTTAATCTGCGGGTCTCTATGTGAATCTGTGGGTCTCTGTGTGAATCTATGGGTCTCTGTGTGAATCTATGGGTCTCTGTGTGAATCTATGGGTCTCTGTGTGAATCTATGGGTTTCTGTGTGAATCTATGGGTCTCTGTGTGAATCTATGGGTCTCTATGTGACTCTATGGGTCTCTGCGTGCGAGTCTGTGTGGAGGCCCCTAGGGTTTGAGAGGCGAGCTGGCGCCGTCGAGCACCTGGCCAAGCATGGCAAGTCGGTGGCCTCAAACAGAGACACCGAGACTCGGAGAGGCCTCTCGTCTCACACAGAGACCCACAGATTCGCATAGAAACCCAGAGGCCCACAGCCTCAAATACAGTTGGTAGACTCACATGATGGAGACCCATAGCCTGAAGGAAAGACCCGTAGACTAACATGGAGACCCGTAGACCCGCATGGAGACCCGTAGACCCGCATGGAGACCTGTAGACCCGCATGGAGACCCGTAGACTCGCATGGAGACCAGTAGAGTCACATGGAGACCCATGGAGTCCTGTGGAGACCCATAGAGTCACGTGGAGACCTGTAGACTCACGTGGAGACCTCTAGACTCTCCTGGAGACCTGTAGACTCACGTGGAGACCCATGGAGTCCTGTGGAGACCCATAGAGTCACGTGGAGACCCGTAGACTCAGGTGGAGACCCGTTAACTCACGTAGAGACCCGTAGACTCACGTGGAGACCTGTAGACTCACGTGGAGACCCGTAGACTCACGTGGAGACCCGTAGACTCACGTGGAGACCCGTAGACTCACGTGGAGACCCATAGACTCACGTGGAGACCCATAGACTCACGTGGAGTCCTGTAGACTCACGTGGAGACCCATAGACTCACGTGGAGACCCGTAGACTCACGTGGAGACCCGTAGACTCACGTGGAGACCCATAGACTCACGTGGAGACCCGTAGACTCACGTGGAGACCCGTAGACTCACGTGGAGACCCGTAGACTCACTTGGAGACCCGTAGACTCACGTGGAGACCCATAGACTCACGTGGAGACCTGTAGACTCACGTGGAGACCCGTTGACTCACGTGGAGACCCGTAGACTCACGTGGAGACCCGTAGACTCACGTGGAGACCTGTTGACTCACGTGGAGACCTGTAGACTCACGTGGAGACCTGTTGACTCACGTGGAGACCTGTAGACTCACATGGAGACCCGTAGACTCACTTGGAGACCCGTAGACTCACGTGGAGACCCGTAGACTCACGTGGAGACCCGTAGACTCACGTGGAGACCCGTAGACTCACGTGGAGACCTGTTGACTCACGTGGAGACCTGTAGACTCACGTGGAGACCTGTTGACTCACGTGGAGACCCGTAGACTCACGTGGAGACCCGTAGACTCACGTGGAGACCTGTTGACTCACGTGGAGACCTGTAGACTCACTTGGAGACCTGTTGACTCACGTGGAGACCTGTAGACTCACATGGAGACCCGTAGACTCACTTGGAGACCCGTAGACTCACGTGGAGACCCATAGACTCACGTGGAGACCCGTAGACTCACGTGGAGACCTGTTGACTCACGTGGAGACCTGTAGACTCACGTGCAGACCCATAGACTCACGTGGAGACCCGTTGACTCACGTGGAGACCTGTAGACTCACGTGGAGACCCGTAGACTCACGTGGAGACCCATAGACTCACGTGGAGACCTGTTGACTCACGTGGAGACCTGTAGACTCACCTGGAGACCTGTAGACTCACGTGGAGACCCGTTGACTCACGTGGAGACCCGTAGACTCACGTGGAGACCCGTAGACTCACGTGGAGACCTGTTGACTCACGTGGAGACCTGTAGACTCACGTGGAGACCTGTTGACTCACGTGGAGACCTGTAGACTCACGTGGAGACCCGTAGACTCACTTGGAGACCCGTAGACTCACGTGGAGACCCGTAGACTCACGTGGAGACCCGTAGACTCACGTGGAGACCCGTAGACTCACGTGGAGACCTGTTGACTCACGTGGAGACCTGTAGACTCACGTGGAGACCTGTTGACTCACGTGGAGACCCGTAGACTCACGTGGAGACCCGTAGACTCACGTGGAGACCTGTTGACTCACGTGGAGACCTGTAGACTCACTTGGAGACCTGTTGACTCACGTGGAGACCTGTAGACTCACATGGAGACCCGTAGACTCACTTGGAGACCCGTAGACTCACGTGGAGACCCATAGACTCACGTGGAGACCCGTAGACTCACGTGGAGACCTGTTGACTCACGTGGAGACCTGTAGACTCACGTGCAGACCCATAGACTCACGTGGAGACCCGTTGACTCACGTGGAGACCTGTAGACTCACGTGGAGACCCGTAGACTCACGTGGAGACCCATAGACTCACGTGGAGACCTGTTGACTCACGTGGAGACCTGTAGACTCACCTGGAGACCTGTAGACTCACGTGGAGACCCATAGACTCACGTGGAGACCCGTAGACTCACATGGAGACCCGTAGACTCACGTGGAGACCTGTAGACTCACGTGGAGACCCATAGAGTCACGTGGAGACCTGTTGACTCACGTGGAGACCCGTAGACTCACGTGGAGACCCATAGACTCACGTGGAGACCCGTAGACTCACGTGGAGACCTGTAGACTCACGTGGAGACCTGTAGACTCACGTGGAGACCTGTAGACTCACGTGGAGACCTGTAGACTCACGTGGAGACCTGTAGACTCACGTGGAGACCTGTTGACTCACATTACGGCCCACAGACTCGTAGCGGTATCCGTCGGCTCGCACACAGACCCATGGCGACGGGAGGGTGGGAGGGAGCAGCGCGAGAGGGGGAGGAGTGCCGCATGTTTTGGACCCATCCCGCGCTCTCTCTCTCTGAGTAATTGAAATGACATTTGTGGAAGAGTTTGGGTCGACAGTGACGGCGCTGCCATTTGCTATTCAATTGCCTTCGCGCACGTGTGTTTGTGCGTGTGTGTGTGTGCGTGTGTGTGTGTGCGCGCACGTGTTTGTGAGTGTGTTTGTGCGTGTGTTTGTGCGTGTGTTTGTGCGTGTGTTTGTGCGTGTGTTTGTGCGTGTGTGTGTGCGTGTGTGTGTGTGCGTGTGTGTGCGTGTGTTTGTGCGTGTGTTTGTGTGCGTGTGTGTGCGTGTGTTTGTGCGTGTGTGTGCGTGTGTTTGTGCGTGTGTTTGTGCGTGTGTGTGTGCGTGTGTGTGTGTGCGTGTGTGTGCGCGCGTGTGTTTGTGCGTGTGTGTGTGCGCGTGTGTGTGTGCTCGTGCGTGTACTCGTGTGTGCATGTGTGTGCGCGCGTGTGTTTGTGCGTGTGTGTGCATTTGTGGGCGTGT